GACGCGCTGCATTAAAGCTTAGAGTAGACGCACAGAAACACGCCCCATACTGTATCTAGGTTAACTTTGTCTCGCCAATCTGCTGTGGTTTCCCTATCGGTAATCCTGCCTTAGCACAGTGGGAGGTGGAGCACATAAAACCATAATACCATTGGATTTACATTCCTTAGCATAAGGTGTTAACAATTAAGTCAAAAGAGCAAAAAGAAAAAAAAAATTAGCAATCTGAAAGGAGTTAGTTATTTGTCTGTATAACCTTTAATTATGTAATTACCTAATACGAAGCAGGGAGATTTACTTATAAAGACTTTTTTGTTCTGAAAGGAAGAAAATGAATGCTTTGGCATTTTTAAACATTGGCTTTACCTAATTTGCTGTTAATGTTTTATTTAGGGCTTCTAAAATTACATTTAAACACTATATTGCTGCATTTAAAAAGGAAAATGTTTAGGATATAACTGAATGCCAATTTACACAACGGTAACTTCTAGACTGTTTGATCCCAGAATTAAAAGTACGATTTGAGGGGACTTTGGTAAACCATGCAATATAGGAATTTAGATGGATGGATGGATGGATGGATGGATGGATAGATGGATGGATAGATGGATGGATGGATAGATGATAGGTGGATAGATGGATGGATGGATGGATGGATAGATAGATAGATAGATGGCACTTTTTTTATCCCTTGGGAGTTCCCTTTGGGAAATTTAGGAATTTCCAATGCTTAGGGGGAAAAAAAAGTCTGGAAAAGGTTTTAAAAGCAAGAATGGATCATTTCCTTTATACTTAATGTTTACGTACGTATAAATATAGTGTGGATTTTTCTTTTACCAAAGGCCGTTTGATTCGGTGCTGCATTGCCAGGATTGTTTAAACTGATTAGCCCTCTACTGGTGTTAAAGGGGCTGTTCCCCGTGAAACCAGTACATTGATCTGGAGAAACAGAGATTAGACACAAGAGGAAAAAAGAACATTGATCTCCAGCTGAATCCAAAGGGCACTCCTGTCTTGATAGATTGAGGGAGATCCATCCCCTCCTCTCCTGCTCCCCTCCTCTTTGCTCACTGGACCGTGCATCAGTATTGTGTTGCTCTGACCATGTGCTGCTCCCTCAAAGTGCACGGGCTTTCCATCAGTGGGAGGCACCTCCCCGGAACAGCGACAACAGGGAATCTGGTAATATACAACACCAGCTGTCCACGCCGTGAAGCGTCAGTGACTACGACGAGGCACAATTTAATTGATCAACTTTCACCTACTTAGATTCTTCAATCACATCCCTTGGATGGGAGTCTAAAAAACAAACAAAAAAAAAAAAAAAAAACATCATAATTGTTCACAACACAAACACCGTCTCTCATTAGTTGTACACATGTCAAACTGATAAATGAGTCCAATAGCAGTACCGAGCAGCAGCGGCAGAGTCCCAGATGCCTCTGCTCGGAAGTCCAGCCAACAGAGCACACAGCCTGCTCTCCTAACCTTCCGTTTTTGAGTAAAAAGACATACCCCTCAGGCACTGCAGTAAATATAGTACACCACTACACAGGATTGGTCAGTCTGTATCAAAGTCTCCCACCTTAATGGGGGCAAAATACAAAAAAAAAAAAAAAAAAAAAACCCTCTAAACTTTTATTATGCAGTTTATCATTCTTGAGGAGTACACATTGCAACTATTAAATTCAAACAATACTCGAGCTGGTTAGAAATCAATAGAGTATTAAAAATGCACTTTGAAGAGACTTACATATAATGATATTTTAGCAGTGATGGTAGAATAGTATGAATGATCATCCAGCAACTCAGCACCTCTGGCGACCGTCTCTCATCGAATTACTACGCGAGTACATAAAAGGCTTTACCTGTTTGCCAGATGTACGTGGGTCTATTCCCCACTGCAGTATTTGCATCGAGCATCCAGATGAAGAAAAGGAGCAGCACTAGCCTCCGGATAGAGAGAAGCAATGCTGTACTGGAGACTCTCAGTGTCCCCGCAGCTCTGATCGCCAACCCCATGGCTACCATAGAGCAATTACTGTAGTTTCAATGCAGTACCGAGGAGGAACGCAAAACCTGACCACGAGGTTTTAAAGAGCCGAACTTGTGTAAATTCTGCCTCGTCCGCACCTGTCCATCCAAGTAGTAATCCCGTAAGGATGGGTTAAGGTCTTTCCCCTCTGCACACTTTACCCCCCGTTTCTATCGTTTCTTTGCTCTGAAATGAGGGAGGATGATGTGTGGCAGCAAATAAAAAAAAAACAGGGAACAATAGATCCCTAAGACGAGCCTGCTGCTGCTGCTGCTGCTGTATGCCGAGTTGATGCACCACCTCCCTTCAGCTCGGCTCTTTCGCTCGTGCACTCATACACACACAGCGCACACACACACTCACACACACTCACCATCCCTACGCCCCCTCCCCTTCTCTCCCTCTCTCTCATTTATCCCTCAGCCCTTGCTCCATCAAAGTAGCTGCATGCTCGGGGCTGAAGAGAACAGCTTAAACGTGCACGGGAAGGTAAGGAAGAGTTTGTTCGATAAATAAGTGACATACGTCAGACGAACTCAATCTAAAATAAACTCAATTCAAATAGCGATGGATAAACAGCGGGCTTAATAAAGCTCTATCCAGTCTACATGAATTATTAACCTAATGTCGCTGCTAAGCAGATGTTCACGTATGCTGATGACATGATGCGGTGTATCAGAAACGACGGCGTTGTTTTTTTTTTTTTTTTCACTCTTCTTCTGCACGAAAGTGATCGGTTTTTGATGGTATTACTTAACTAAAAGCTCTAGCCAAAAGATGAGCGCGGACAGATGTACATAGTCATCGTACAAAGGATTAATTGAGGCCATCTGTCCGTTTGGTCAAAGGCTTAGCCCAAACATTTGTCAGGCTTTTTCCTCAAAAAAAAAAAAAAAAACCCACTTTTTTGAAGTTCCGTGTAGTGTTTTTGGTACCAAAAGCGGAACATCGAACTTTGTAACGCCCCTGTCTGTGGTTATATTCTGTGTTCGACATAATGTAGAATAATTATATTAATAATTGGTATTGATATTAGTAGCGGTTGCACGCCTCGCAAGCAGAGAGCAGAAGGTCCTGGGTTTGATTCCCAGAGGAACTACCATATCCCTAACGGCGCCTCTCACGGTGTGTCAGTGGTAAAGACTTACACTGTAAATTTTCCCCATTGCGGGATGAATAAGGGATTCAATTATTGGGGCAGTGCTAGCTTGGTGGTTAAGAAAGCGGACTTGCATCCAAGGGATTCAGGTTTGAGTCCACCAGCTGCCAAGTTCCCACTGAGGTGCGTTGAGCATGGCGCCATTCCCACACACTGCTCCCCAGGTGCCTGAGCTGCCTGCTCACTACGTTGATGGGTAAAATGCAGAGGTCACATTTCGTTGTGTGCTGTGTGACAGTGATAAGTAAATCACTTTCTATATTAGATATTATCAATCAATTATATCCAACAAAACCCCTAGTTTTTCCTCAATGGCTGAGATACATTTTGTTTATTTTTTTTTTTGTAATTTGACTAAATAGCAAAATTGCATAACAAATAAAAATATAATAAAATCATTGATCCATCGCATTAATTCAGCCTCGTATTTAAGCTCTGTGTCTAAGGTATTGAGTCGTTACTTATGTGGCACTTTTTCTATTTCTACACCACAGGTTTTGCCATCTACCTGGCTCGACTGCTTTGCCTGCCTTTAACAAGCACAGAGTGCTAATGGACATAATAACTGTGGACAGCAAGAAACAGAGGACAGCCAGATACACACATAACTTTGTGCTTGCCCAGATTCAAAGATCTGGAACAGTAGGTGTCACACCTATGAAACATGATCAGCACTTGGAAAATCTGCTTATTCTCTTACTCTTCGATAGGATCCAAACTACAAATTTGTCATAGAGAGAGAGAGAGCCGTTGTAAGATTATTTTTCTGTTCTTCTGTAGTTACTCGCAGACTTGTGAATCCACGTCGATCAAACGAAACCATTGACCAGAGCTAGGCTAGCATATGTAGCAGTGACAAGTGCTATTCTCTCAACTAAAAGTGTTGGTAAGACTGACATACCTCAAACCGAAGATACGTATGTCAACTACATTGCAGGCCACTCGAGATTCAGGGGATGGGTGTGGATGACATGAAGCAATAGTCAGAGACTAGCTACGGCGACGTCGTCAATTGCTATGACCTTACGCAGGGTGTTGATGGTGAATAGTTGATATACTACAGTACAAAAGTACTGAGATCTCCAAATTACTTCCACAGTAAAAAAAAAGTAGGGTGCATATTAATGTAGATACAAGGTTACTGTATTTTTTAAAAAAAAGGTAGACAGGTGACTTAGCGCTGGCTAGCCTTAGCATGTCGCATGACTTAGATATGAGATAGCCATTAGGTATTCCTAAGGGATTCTGAAAAATCAGTTTAATTACCGTAATTTATTTTTTTACATTACAGAATTTCATAAAATGATACATTTTATGAAAAGGCATTTTGAGAATTTTCAAAACATTTATATACTGTATATATAATATATAGATTAGGATATAGATTGGGGTGAACGTATTAATTATTAAACGATGACAATTATATGGCACATTAACAGCATTAGCAGTTTATTATTTCATGTATTATTGGAAAAGTCTGTTGCTTACTGCTGAAGACCTCACAGGAACCAGAAAAGACGAGAATTGATTTTTAACAAAACCCAGCCCCCCGAATGATCACTGTCAACTCATACGGCCAAGTAGTCGTTACTATGAAACATGATGCGACTGGAAGCTGGAACTCTGACAAGCAAAATGGTGAAGCGACGTGCCCTCCCTGTGAACCGATTTAAGCCCGAAGTAGCATTAGCTGTTCGATACAGGTACGGCAGCTGGCTCTAGGAACGTGGACAGATTCCTCTACGGCTGTAAAGAAGCCTAGTGTGGGAGGTCGAGAGGTTCTGGCTAAATATAGTTGGGGCTTACCACGACACACTGAAAACAGTCTCTTTGGGAGGCCATAAGCTCTCTTCCACTCCGGGCTCTTCCCAGGTGAGAAGCATTGAGCAGGTGTGGGCATTCCCGTTGCTCCCAACTTCCAGTGCCTGTACATTGGGGGTTTTCCCCTGCGGATGAAAAGGTAGCCTCCCTCCACCTTCAGGTTCAGGACAGTCCCTGTCTATTGTTTGTGTCGATGAACAAAATAGCAGTTACCCATTCCTTTTTGGAGTCCCTGGGGGTGCTAGAGAGCATTCTCGCCTGGGATCCCATTGTTTGTTGGGGGACTTCAATGCCCCCGAGGGCAATGGCTGCGAGACCCGGTGGGGCATGATCGGAAGGAACTCCCCACACCTAATTGGTTTTTTGTTATTGGATTTTCAGTGCTGATAACTACCTGGTGGTGAGTTGGCAGACCCGAAACAGATTGGACTTAGCCAAGCCTGTTTTCTGTCACAGATTCTGTTCATAACATATATGGACAGAATTTTTTTATGGACATTTTGGAATTGTTAGTCTTTCAGAAATTCTGAGCTCACCTTAAGGTAGTCCATGGGGTTACCAGGTGACCCTGAGTATCACAATGATGACCCTTGATCTAGATAATGTGCATGTTGGTTAGGCAACTACAGCAAAAAAAAAAATTATATAATATAATATTATATTAAAATATTTTTTATTTACTAAATTAAAAAATACAATTTCATTAGAAGAATTAAAACAAATCAATTTTTTTTCTAAGTTCTTATGCTGCCATCAAATTCTGTAGTTGTAATTTAATTACTGGTGTTATACAGTATGTGTGATGCGATATATGGTACAACAATTAAACAAGTTGGGTGGCTCAATTTTCCGAAAAGAAAATTATGGCAGCACAAGAGAAGCAAAGCGTTTATAAATAAAAAGGGAAAGAAAATATTTGCTGATATTTGATATACAAAATATTTTCTTTTTACTTTAATTTTAGTCGTATGTTTTGGTTTTGCCGCCCTCTCCTTGATTTCTGTAGTACGACAAATTCATTAGGTTTATCAGGATGTAGTTCTCTGAACACAAATCCAAACCCTGAACCTTCCAAGTAGATCCTCTACCTCCAGTCCTACTAAATGCCGGCTGCCGTTCCATTCCCCACATTCCACACTGTCACTCACCAATTTTTTTAATAATTCTTAATAACTTCAATATCCTCCACCTCATTTCCAACTAACCCATATTTCACACCATTCTTCTCAATAGAATTATTATATATTAATTATGGGACCTCTCCTTGGAGTTATTATAAACCAGGTTCTATGCCTAGTGTGGGAGGTCGAGAGGTTCTGGCTAAATATAGTTGGGGCTTACCACGACACACTGAAAACAGTCTCTTTGGGAGGCCATAAGCTCTCTTCCACTCCGGGCTCTTCCCAGGTGAGAAGCATTGAGCAGGTGTGGGCATTCCCGTTGCTCCCAACTTCCAGTGCCTGTACATTGGGGGTTTTCCCCTGCGGATGAAAAGGTAGCCTCCCTCCACCTTCAGGTTCAGGACAGTCCCTGTCTATTGTTTGTGTCGATGAACAAAATAGCAGTTACCCATTCCTTTTTGGAGTCCCTGGGGGTGCTAGAGAGCATTCTCGCCTGGGATCCCATTGTTTGTTGGGGGACTTCAATGCCCCCGAGGGCAATGGCTGCGAGACCCGGTGGGGCATGATCGGAAGGAACTCCCCACACCTAATTGGTTTTTTGTTATTGGATTTTCAGTGCTGATAACTACCTGGTGGTGAGTTGGCAGACCCGAAACAGATTGGACTTAGCCAAGCCTGTTTTCTGTCACAGATTCTGTTCATAACATATATGGACAGAATTTTTTTATGGACATTTTGGAATTGTTAGTCTTTCAGAAATTCTGAGCTCACCTTAAGGTAGTCCATGGGGTTACCAGGTGACCCTGAGTATCACAATGATGACCCTTGATCTAGATAATGTGCATGTTGGTTAGGCAACTACAGCAAAAAAAAAAATTATATAATATAATATTATATTAAAATATTTTTTATTTACTAAATTAAAAAATACAATTTCATTAGAAGAATTAAAACAAATCAAATATTTTTTTTTCTAAGTTCTTATGCTGAGATCAAATTCTGTAGTTGTAATTTAATTACTGGTGTTATACAGTATGTGTGATGCGATATATGGTACAACAATTAAACAAGTTGGGTGGCTCAATTTTCCGAAAAGAAAATTATGGCAGCACAAGAGAAGCAAAGCGTTTATAAATAAAAAGGGAAAGAAAATATTTGCTGATATTTGATATAAAAAATATTTTCTTTTTACTTTAATTTTAGTCGTATGTTTTGGTTTTGCCGCCCTCTCCTTGATTTCTGTAGTACGACAAATTCATTAGGTTTATCAGGATGTAGTTCTCTGAACACAAATCCAAACCCTGAACCTTCCAAGTAGATCCTCTACCTCCAGTCCTACTAAATGCCGGCTGCCGTTCCATTCCCCACATTCCACACTGTCACTCACCAATTTTTTTTAATAATTCTTAATAACTTCAATATCCTCCACCTCATTTCCAACTAACCCATTTTACCATATTTCACACCATTCTTCTCATTTATTATTTTAATTATGAGACCTCTCCTTGGAGTTATTATAAACCAGGTTTCATAAACATTTGCATCTCAGAAATACTGGTGGTATTTAATACAACCAGAAATTCAGACGCTCTCTATTATATATATTGTGCATAAACTTGCCGTATACTTTTACACTGCAATCTTTGGTGATGACGTCGAACGGTTGCTGTAGCCTCGGCACCATCTAGTGGTACCTTTTTTATTGTCTCTGGTGAAGGCATTCACAGAGAGAGAGAGAGAGAGACGTCAATAACGAAATCGGAGAAAATGCACGTCACAAAACCACAGCTAATGTTTGTCATTCATTGTTGTAGAATGACATATAAATCAAACTAACACATAGGTTACATTTCTGTCAACGCAATGATACACGAAATGTTTACCCTACGTTTTTCTTGATCAATACTGATAAGGAAATAAACAGCTTCCGGTCAATTTATGGCGTGATTCAAGTGCTGGCATCTATTTGAGTTGCAGCATTGATCGCAGATGGGGAAAAAAAAACTGGGTACTTACAGATGGCAGGACAAAATTGATTGGTGGGTTGTCTATTTCTTCCATGTCCACGGTCATGTCCAATATATTTATACTCTGTTGACATCCCGGCAGAAGAATATTCAACCGGTCCTTCATCCATCACGTTTCTTGCAGCCTCTTCACTGTAGAGTTTTTCCATAACTGCAGTAGTAGAAACAGTAGTTGACGACATTTTTTTTTTTAAGAATGAGTACAGAAATGTCCAGACGTACAAACATGGTCTCTGCGTCGTCATTTTTGCTTCTATATCAGCCATAAAGAATACTTTAAACGAGCACATTTCAATTATACAACTAAATTAATATAATTAAAGGGAGAAAACAAAAAAAAACAAACAATTTGTTTGGACAAGTGTGGAGCAAAGGGAACGTTTCTTTCCTAGGTGCAACTGTTGCAAAAAGGCCACATAGAACGAGTGACGTAGCAAGGGACGACAAGGAAAGAAAAAAAAAGCTAATTTAGATAATTAGTGTAGCGGCGACGGCTCCCCGCGAGGGGGCCCCTTGCCGCTTTAAATAATTGGAGTAAAACTATCAGCGTTTGGCAACTTCGACTTTTACTTCCTACATCTGGCACGGACATTGGAAATACAGCTAGTCGATTCCACAGGGAAACACACACGTCGAACGCGTTGAGAGAGCGGTGTCCGACTGCTGCTCATTAAGTATCGAAAAGAATATTGAGTCAAACAAAACTACATAAATACAATAAAAGTACAGGTAATAATAAAGTTATATATAGCCTATATATATATATATATTAAAAAATTGCGCAGCTCTTTACATATTTACTTACCGTTGACACAGCAGAGCCCCACGTCGTGCACGACCCAGGTTCACAGGGTGTTGCATTAAATGACCGTAAAATAAAATAAGGATTTTACGTGTGATAAGTTCTTTTAAATGGCAAGAGGAGTCGTATATTTTAACTGCGTTAAATTATATTAAAGCAACTTTTTTTTAAAAAAAAAAAGTCCTAATAAGTCAAATGTGTTAACTTTTTTTATACTACAATTAAAAAAACGTTAAAAAAAAGGAGTAACAAGAACTAGCGAGAAAATTGTTAGTTCAATGTTAGTTAGGTACTATTGCTCATTTTGTTAATGTTGTTTTTGGGGAAAGGGAAAGTGACCTGGTTGCTCTGAGTTGCCCAATAATAGTAGACATGGCCTAATGTGTAACAAAATGACTAAGATGAAATGGAAAAACATAACTTCTACATTTACCTGGCCACAGAATGATTGCGTTCACAGGCGAACCAGGCTTGGTTTGGCAGCAGGATAAGGGGAGATCTGGAGGGATGAAAGATTTTTTTTTTATTTTTTTTTTTATTTTTTTAATTGAGAATTCAGCTGCCTGACGGGAGCCAGGCAAAAAGGGGGGGCAGGCAAGACTGACGCAAGATCACGCTATCAGGTAGAAGAGCTGAGCAATAACGCAACAATGTTTATTAATTCAATTTGGATTCAGTGGAGGTTAGCGACGTCACCCTTGAAAGGAGTACGCTAAGCTACATGTGAATGGAATTTCTGCCATTGTAGTGTGGAAGCTAAAACTGGGTTTTAGCTAAGTTCTTTGGATACGTCGGTGAACTTCAGTCAACTTTTAGAAACTAAACTTGTTAGCTTCGTGTCTATTGTATTTGCTAGTCTAGCTGTCGGTGTTTCATTAGCTTGTTCCTGTAATTGAGAGTTTGATACATACATTTCTTTTGTTAGGGTTAGGGTTAGCCTTAAATGGCAAACTTCTGTCTGTACTGATTTTATCAGGACATTAGTGGAATTCTGAGAAAGCTATACATTCTTCAGAGGATCAAAACTGTAACCCTATGCAGCATATTATCCAATGCTGCAAATGTTTGACAAGAGACCGGCAAAAGAGAATGACTATCTGATCATAATATTGCAATATATCATAATATTAATATTGCAGGAGGTCATTATTTTTAATTCTCGATCTCAGTTTTTGCTGTTGCCCCCGAACTCTTACTGCTGCCTTATGAACAAAGTTGCCAATGTTAGCCTAAAATAGACGTACATATGTGCGTTATGAATAGTGTAATAAAAAAAGTATGATAAATTTTTTTTTGGTGGGGGGGGGGGGGGTAGGCGCAAAGAAATTCTTATAAACCAAAAGGGGAACCCAGCAGAAAAGTATGTGAACCATAGCCTTAAATGGCAAACTTCTGTCTGTACTGATTTTATCAGGACATTAGTGGAATTCTGAGAAAGCTATACATTCTTCAGAGGATCAAAACTGTAACCCTATGCAGCATATTATCCAATGCTGCAAATGTTTGACAAGAGACCGGCAAAAGAGAATGACTATCTGATCATAATATTGCAATATATCATAATATTAATATTGCAGGAGGTCATTATTTTTAATTCTCGATCTCAGTTTTTGCTGTTGCCCCCGAACTCTTACTGCTGCCTTATGAACAAAGTTGCCAATGTTAGCCTAAAATAGACGTACATATGTGCGTAAATACAGTTACATGTAAATTGTGTGAAACAAACAAGTCTGTAAACAATTTTTTTGGGGGGGGTAGGCGCAAAGAAATTCTTATAAACCAAAAGGGGGAACCCAGCAGAAAAGTACCCTATGTGAACCGCTGTCGTAAACAAAAAGGAGTTATTAAATAAAAATGATAATGAAAATCCCCAAAAATTCCACTGAAAAATCAGCCATTCCACTGCAGAGAAAGAGTGCTTGGTATTGAAGCAGGGAGGCGGAGGGGGGGGTCTGTCCTACTACCCTCTTGGATTAGAGTTTGATTTGGAGACAGGCCATTGGGCCTTAACGTGGAATAATAACATGAACAGCCAGTTGGTACGGCTGCCTTCAGCCTTTCAGGTTTCAACATTCAACATCGCTCAGGCAAGGCAAATAGAATGATTGAATACCTTTTGAGGTTACCGCACATCAAAAACATCCAGCAGGAGGGGGTTGATGTGACGGAGCGGCTCTGTCAGGAGCAGCCCTTTTTTTTTTTGATTATTCCCTTTTACCTTTGTCTGTCCTTTCACAGTACCACTCTGAGCTCTCGACAGAATTGGCTTTTGCAGGTACTGACAGTAACATGTCCTTTGACTGGACCACTCTAGCGCCATCCTCTCCTGCCTTCCTGAGTTCAATTTTGTCACAGGAGTATGAAGCCTTGAAGAATGTCTCTGTCGGTAGCGATCTAATCCGTAAGCTTTCCATTAACGGCGCCTTCTTTTGATTGTTTGCTATTTCTGAGTTGTTTCTTTTTTGAATATCAGTGCTATTTTTTTTTTTCTATAAATATGAATCTCCTACTGTCGTATTTCAGTGGTTATTTTCAGCTCTGCAAAAAAGGTTGGGGACCACTGCTTTAGAGCATTCGTGTCAAACTCATTTTCACCGGGGGGCCACATCAGCAACACAGTTCCCCTTGAAGGGCCGGTTGTAAATGGAAGACTGTATAGATCAGGGGGTCCTCAACCCTCGGTACCTACATTGAAAACTATAAATATATATTAGCTACTTTGATTAAATGGCTGTAGTTGTATGGCACAGTACCATCTGACCGTCTGACCCCTGGACTAAAACATGTTTCTGCAATTTAGTATTATTTATTCAAGCTAACAATATTGTTCATTGCTGTGTAATAAAAAAAAAAATTTAATTTTGTAGGTTAAGAAATTCTGCTGCATTGACTTTACTAAATGCTTTTTAAGCTGGGATCAATATAGTACAATTTTTTTTTTTTTTTTTTTTTTTTTTTGTAATTGGGTGACTGATGGTTTGAATCCCAGCTCTAGCAAGACTAGCGGTTGGCGCGCCTGCCTTGCAAGCCGAGAGATCAGAGAGTCCCGGGTGTGAACCCAGGTGTGGGGTCCATAATGTTCAAAATATTATTAACACAGGAGAATATTTGATAATAAATGTTCAAGGTAAAGATTTTGACTGTACACAAGGTGAGAGTCCAACAATGTTCCCCTTGTGTCCTGACAGATGGATGCTCAGGCCTACGGTGTTTTACTCTGACACAATAACACCCCGCAACACAATAGCAGCTCCCCTCAAGGCAGGCTGAAAAATGTTTGTCGGACCAAGGAGACTGTGTCCTGTGTCTGCAAATAGCTGCTTGAGAACAGCTGTCAGCTCTCATCGGTATATGCAGTGGTCATTGACATCACGTCGTGTTGTGTCTACGCCGGACGCTTTAGGTCCGAAGATTCAGAAAGCCATTTCTTACTAGAGGTTTTTTTTTTAATGTAGCTTCTGTACATTTTCCAAATTGTAATTTAAATGAATAATTATCTCTTGTTAGGTTCATGGCACTGAATCCATCAGAGTGAGATGTACAACTTGATTAAGGAGAAAAAAAGTTCACTTGAATTGCTAATTCTGTTAGCTCAAAATACTCTTTTGTACAAATTTCTACATTATCATATAGATATATTTAATGTAAATCATCATATTTTAGGGGAAAATAGCTTTTGGCTCATCTCACTTCCAACTTCTTCGGAGCTCCTGGGGCACTAGAAACAGCGCTCAGTCAGTGCAACGGCGCAACCGATTGCTGACATTAAATATGCACATAGCAACAGAAGTTAAACCAATCGTCATCGTCAAATCTGGGTTCGCTTGTCGCCCCGAGCCAAGCCTCTCGGTGACGGCGTGGATATCTGAGCACTGACGCACCCATTTCCACCACAAGGGGTCACTGGCGTAACAGTCAGCAGCATTGTGCGTAAAAACGCGTAAATGTTATGAAGTCATTTGTTCATAGGTTCAGTTTTGAATGCCAATTTTTTTCTTTGTGCGATGTGCTGTTTATGTTTTGGTCTACAAATGCCTCAACTTTATCTATCACTGCTTGTTCATTCCTTAGGAGTTTTAACAAGGCATGTCCGATATTATAATTTTTGCTTATATCCAATATGCCAACGATTAATTTCCGATTCCAATACCAATACATGCAGACGTTTACCCCGAAAACAGCGGTAACCGTCGCAGGAACCCACAAGCGATTTTAGCATATTTAGACCAAAACCGAGGCATTGCATTATCGGATTCTCATTATCGGCAATAAAACCTATAATGATTCATGATTCAGATATTACAGAATTATGCTAATATGGGGCCGATAATATCGGTCGGCCGATATTTTCTGACATTTCTAGTTTTAACCAATAAACAATTAGCAATTTTTCAGACACATTTCTGGCACAGCAACAACATTAATGCTCAACTCTATACAGTTCAAAACATTTTGTAATAGTTTCATTTGCACTGGGAGTTTCCACAATTTTGTAAACAGAAAAATAAAAAATGAACTTTTATTATTTTTATTTTTCAGATTTTTTTGTTATACGTATGTCTATGTCCTGATTCATGGAGCAAATTTTGAAATAAATAACTGTGATTATTCTGTCAAAAAGTAATTGAAAAAAATTGAGAATTTCCAATGATTTCATCACAAATCCTCACCATTTAACACCATTTATTTTTAAACTGCAACCCATTTCTTCCAAAAAATATAAAAACACATTTTACGATATCACAGAAACAGTCGTTATTGCTAAAAAAAAATTTTTTTTTTTTTTACTGACAGTGACGGTCTGTCAAGTCGTTCAAATTATGGGTCATTAACAGCAACAAGGATGGAGACTTATGCTCTCTTGTTTTGATTTTCCCATCATGTATTCACCTCCCTTTCTTCTCCCCATCCCCCACAGCGTGCGCAACCCCCACCCACCCCACTGTGCACTTCTCAACTGCCCCTGGGATCTTTGTCGGTCTACTAATGAGAAATCTGCAGCAGCAATTCTTCCTAGAGACAGGACCAGCCGGGTCTTTTGCATCTTTCATTGCCTATCCTTAATATTTACCACATCACATGTTTGACAACAGATGATCACATTAACTGATTTGGAAAATTCCAGAATGTGTGTTTTTTAAATAAAAAAAATAAATAAAAAAAAGCAATAACCCTGTAACAATTCCTCGTCTGGTAAATTCACGTTTGCAAAGGCAGAAAAATCTGCATCAGATATTCGATTTAAATTTCAAAGTCAAACCAAGGACTGGCTCGTGTCACATTTCAAGCCCTCGCTGCGTGGAGTGTTCTTGTGCATCTGAATAAGGCTGGATATCAAGAGGAAGTGAAATTAGTTCAGTGTTCTGACTAATATTATGCCACACAATTTGCCAGTTTGAGGGTGGGGTGGGTTACATTATAAATATTGATAACCTCATTCGGTTTCATTTCACCAAACCAATGTTTGTGCGAAATTGCTGATGAAGACATTCTGTGATTTGACACGCAGCGCATTGATTTTTTGATTTTTTTTTTCCAGGCCTTCTCTTCAAAGAATAAAAACAGCATATAATTGTTTTTTCTGACGTATTCCAAACTTAACAATGTGGATAAAGTTTGTTTTTGAAAAAGTAGGTCAACGGACTCTAGGGTTTATCAAGGCCTCCTTATGTCCAGTACACTTTACTACATGACTTATAAGATCTTTGGAATGGTGGATAGATGGATGGATGGATGGATGGATGGATGAATGGATAGATGGATGGATGGATAGATAGATAGATAGATAGATTGATAGATAGATAGATAGATAGATAGATAGATAGATAGATAGATAGATGGATGGATGGATGGATGGATGGATGGATGGATGGATGGATGGATGTCGTCCTTTTATTAGTTTTTCCGTTACTCTACGGAAAATCCAACATCTGTGCCAGCGGTATTCGTCCGACATTCTAAAAATAAATATTAAAAATAAAACATAAAACCTCCCCATGGAGCTATTGCAGCAGGGTAAATTATTTTTTACTATTTTAATATTTTCTTTATCGGTGCTCGAAAGCAGTTTTTTTTAATGGTTTACGGCATTTTAAATAAATATTTAATTGGAGCTTTTAGTGTCAGTGATGACGACGATGATCTCACAAATGATTAACAGTGCACTACTGTATATATATAAAAGACATATTCTCTGTTAATGATTAACGGACAATGTGCCGGTCGCTCGTTAAACATTTACAGCATTGGACAGTATGCCTCTGTGTCAACCCATCCCTTTAATTCACACTTTTGGTTTACAAGTCTAACACAGGGATACATACTTCGGACGACAATTCTTTTAATTAATAGGTAGTCAATACCTATTAATTTAAACCTTGTTTCAGAGGCACTGCTAACCCTAACCCAGCTCTCACGGTGGAGGTCAGTGTGACCCCAGCGCGTGCGCTGTTTAAAACTGCGTGCATTCATTATGCAGCAGACAAAAGCCCAGACAACTGAGAATTGCTGATTTCAGCAGCTGCTCCAATCACTCCGTTCGTCATGTAGCCAATGGGAACGACAAGGGCGGCAATTTTGACCATTAAGACCAATCACGATCTAATCAGAGGAGCTGCTGATTTCCACTAAAGCCTGAGGATAATCAGAGACACTGCTTGCAAAGTGTTCTCCGGTCCGTAGTTGAAGGTCAAACATCACTGTACTTTTGTATTGTATGTTTACGTTTGACTTTTATATCACAGTTCTCCTTTCGCTCACTCAGTACATCTCTTTTTTTTTAATCCAATCTCGCGAAATTTTCATTAAATCACAAAATATAGCAAAAAACAAAGTAAAAGACATTAAAAATAATTACACGTACGACGGTTTTGGCTTTAAAAATGTGGATTCTCATTTTGAAATTGAGATAAGCGCATTTTTCGACTGATCGCTGGTAGCTTTGTTTACCTAGACAGGATCGTACACGGCATACTATTGGCTAATACTATGGGTACTCGGTGTACTATTGGCTAATTGAGCATGCTCTTCTGTTCCTGACGCTGATTGGCTCATGCATCGTAGCATCTCTCAGCATCTCCCCTTGTCTGTCGGCCACTGTCTCGTTCACTTCGCTCTACGTCGCCATAGTACAACTTTACTGTGTATGTAATTGTGTGGGGAAGGGAGGGTTGATAACAGTGTAGAGGAGGTTCTTAAAGGGTACATGTATACGTAAATAATATAATAACTATTTCGCCTCTACTTCGCAATTTTTTCCCTTTTCTTGGTGGGTCTTTGAACGCAATTACCGCGATAGGAAAGGGATCACTGTAAACACCAGTTTTTAAATGTCGTAGATGAGGATGTCTAATAATAACGGCCGACCGGTATTACTATTATCAAGTAATATCTGTAATAAACATATTGGTTTTTCCTCCGATAATGAAAACCTAGTAACGCAATAAGACATTTACCTCAGTTTTGAAGGCAAACAAACGCATATATCTGTATCAGTTGATATCGGAATCGGAAATTAAGTGTTTGGACAATATCTGCAAATTGGATATCGGCAAATAGTTAATATCGGACATCTGTACTATTATAAACTAATGCATTCTTATGGTTGCGTGTGTTATTGTTGTGTGTGTGTGTGTTTGTGTAAACAGGAAACTCATTATTTATTTGTAACATCCCTCTATGTTCCACTTTCTCTGATCATGTTTGTTTACTTACTTTATGTAAATAGTGTGATGATGATAATTTGCATCGCAAGGGAATTTCTGCTCAAACAAAACAATCAGCCGCTTATTAACTCATTTTTTTGTTCCAATCTCGAGGAGTTCATCCTGATCTTTATTCACCGTATTTCCCGAACTATACGTTGCACCAGCTAGCTAAAGCGCCCTCTAGTGGCTGTCAGAGTGTAAATAACAAACTGTGAAATTATATATTTCGATATATATGAGTCACACCTGAGTATAAGTCGCAAACCGAAAAAGTTGATACAGAAATGAAAATGGCGCAGTTTTAGCGTAACAGACAAACGATGACCTGAACAAGATTTTACAAAGTTTAGATAAACGATGTGAAAACGATGTGAAAACAATGTGTGCGATTTTCCTACAACAAAAGTGCCTATATTTTATAGCAAGTGAAATGAATGTTTCTGAGGGGACCTGCGTCTCATTACAGTCAAAGGCTGCTTTGCTGTGAGGCTGAGAGGTTGTTGCCCTGATTATACTTGATAATGGTCTCCGGATTCAAAGGATGCGCTTTGCCAGCTGTGCTCTGCAGTGAATGAAAGCGTATAATACTTCAAGTAGTGTCCTGAATTCACATACATTTGTAAACCAGTGTGCACAGTAAGAGGCAAATACCCATTAGACTTGCCTGACTAAGGATCAGCACAGAATGTGTCTTTACAGCCACAGCACCTGAACTTTAGAACCAGCTGCCTTTGACTATTGACAGGATTCAGCTGTTCATACATACACAGTGTGGGTTTATATTTATTTATTTATTATTTATTTTTGGTTTTATGCCTGCGTTTTGGGGCTTTGTTCCCAACAAATGGAGCGTTCGTGTGAATGATTGACCTGTAAAAGTCTAGGGCTAAAATGCTTTTAAGCAGAAATATAATGATAATTTAAATTAATAATATAATTTGGTTAAATTAGAAAGAGGGTTTCTGGGATTTCTGTGAATGGCATTAAATTGATTCTCCCAACAAATTCAACTTTTTTTTAGGTTACAACATCAGCGTGATCCTTTAACACTGCCATTTCGCAATGGTAAACTATATGTAACATAATAAAAATGCAAGGCGGATTGTCTTTTTATGATGCTATGGTTTATTTTATCACGAAATTATTTTTTTTCTTGTGAATAAATAGATAGAACTGAAACTGGCCAGCTCGTGTAAATACTGCCACCAAGCGGCGAGTTCCTAGTATTTCACATAAAGGAACGCATTTAAATTCACAATGTAAGATTTCAAGGAATACTGATTATTATTAACTAGTAATATTAACACATAGTTCATAAATGGTTCACGTTCAAGCTTGAGCAATCAAAAAATAGTTAGACGGTGCTTTGTGGTCCTTCCAGTTGGGAACTGGTTTAGTTCTTAACTTAAATAAAGCAGATTAGTCTGAGATCTTGTAGATAACCACAAATTTAATTTGTTTTTGGTTGTTTTTGTGGGGGGGTTTTTTGCATCTTTTTGACTTCCTCTTAGAAATTGAATGATTAGTATAGAAGGTGTTCGTTCGATTAATTTTAGTGTATTTTCGATATATTGTAAAATGTAAAAACGTGAACGCGTAAAACATACTCCCTCAGATCATCTACATTCTGACATCCTTGTGAACCCTGAACGTTCTGTCACCACATTGTAAAATTGTTATCGGGTTTTTTTATTTGTTTGAAGTAAAAAAAAAAAAGTCAAACTTACCCAGGAAAGCTGATTGTAACATGTTGCGATGCAGTACCAGTTGGTGGCGGTAATGCACTGGAGAAGAGACGGGAGAAAAAGAAGTAGCTTTATTTGAGAACAACAAAACTTAACTAGCTAGTTTTAACAGGTATGTCGTTTTTCTTTTCTCTTTAAAAAACATGCTTGCTGTTTCATTGGGATACGTGTCGTTTAGTATAACCGCCCACTCTTGTGTCGTATTTCCAGCTTTATCTAATGGCGCAGTTTGTTCGATGTCAACAACTTAGCGAGCTAACCGTTAGCCGTTTCCTATACAGATGAACAGCTCATTAAATGCATCGCGTTGTTTAAGAAATGTGCCGTTGACACGTTTAGGGGCATCTAGTATGTCGGAATTTTACAGCTCTCCGAATTTCAACTGCGACTGTGACATACACCTTACGTTTTAAGCCTGTTGTCTGATAAAACCTACCATGTTTTATTGTGAATCCTTTGGCGGTTTTCCTTCCATTAAAACATATGATATATGTCATGTTTAAATGTTATCTGCAACATTTTGAAAACGTGTAACGCATATACACAGTAATAGTGTTATTGTCATCAAGATATTCCCTTTTTTTATGTAGGAAGTACATAGTTTTGTTGCAAATAAACTATACCTTAAGTCACACACTGTTTCGTTGTCCAGGTGTGACTATGGGAAAGTCCTTCTCTCACTTCATAAAGGCTGGTCATGAAAATGGCGACGACAAAGTAAACTTTCCAGACGATGCTGAAGACAGCAAGGACGGAGACGTCTCTGAGTTCCCATATGTTGAGTTCACGGGACGGGACAGTGTGACATGTCCCTCGTGTCAGGGCACTGGGAGGATTCCGAGAGGTAACATCAAAAGAGTTACTGTATATACAGTGGGAGGATTCCGAGAGGTAACATCAAACGAGTTACTGTATATACTGCCATTTTAGGTGCAACAGTGCTCACACCACGGATTTTGTGGATAGCTGTTAGTGACTCAACAGTTTGCTGTGACTGTTTCAGGACAGGAAAATCAGCTTGTGGCATTGATCCCATACAGTGACCAAAGGCTTCGGCCCAGGAGGACGTAAGTACAATTTCCTTTTGTGTTTGTGTTAACCATGATATGGTTATTTACACTGTGTAGTAAATACAATAATTCATGATGTAATATTTATGTAAGTAAATCAATTAGTATCATTTCTCTTATTAAAGTTTTTAAAATAACAGTTGTTACACTTACTGTAAAATAATAGTTAAACAAGTTAACATTAGATTGTTGTTTTTTTTTTACTGTAACATCTTGCACAAGATTGGCTGATTGAAACATAATATTCGTCAATATTGTGTCATTTTGTGACACATTATGTTTCCAAATAAACACAAATATCTTTGGTGATGGTTAATTCACAAGAGCAGCTGTTTGATTTTTTTTACGATAAAGCACTTCCTACAGCTCTTTTTGTTGGGCAGTTTTCAAGAGAACTCACGATACGTTGCATTTAACTGATGAGAGTCATTCGGATGTTAGTAGTGCTCACTTTTGTTAACTAAGGAAATGTTCTGCATTTGTCCCCTTCAGGAAGTTATATGTAACTGTGTCAGTCCTGGTCTGCCTGTTGCTGTCCACCCTGGCTGTTTTCTTCCTCTTCCCTCGCTCCATAGACATCTCTAATGTTGGTGCAAAATTTGTCTTAGTCACCTACGACCAAGAGAGACGCACTGTGTATCTCAACATCACAGTAAGTTTCTTCTTCTTCTCGTCTGTTAGGGATAGGAATTTAGTACCAATTCGGCAAGGTCCAAATCCTCCAATCATCGCTTGATGATGTATTTGCAGTATGATATCACATGCATTATTTGGGTTTGAGGGTTTATAACATGACATCAAGGTCTCCATTACGGTTACATTTACAGAAAAGACACTAAGTCTGCACCGATTACAATTTTGGGGCCAATACATATTGCCCATTTTTTAGCAAGTGGTATTTTGCCGATACCGTTTTTTGTCGATTCTTGTCAATTTTTTCTTTGCCAATAATAAAAGGTGTTCTGCAGCCATAAATGTTCATTCTCATCACAAGTGAAACATTTTATTTATAACAATATATATTATATAATCGGAATACTAAAAAATGAGTAGCAGTTATCATAACAAATAATATTATTAAAAGATATTGTAATTGTTACAATTTTCCATTAATGGGTGTAATTAGTAAAATAATTAGTGGCTTTTAATATATATATAAGTATATTAAAATATTTAATTTCACATGTTTATTTACACACTGACAGCCACTAGAGGACACTCTAGGCTCGTGTACCAGTATCTGCTACTCCTGTACCAATGAAAATGTTCATTATTTTCACACTGACAACCGCTAGAGGGCACTCTAGCTGGCTAGTGCAACCTACAGTCTGGGATGACTGCCATGTTTGTTTGTTTTTTTTTTTCTTCTTCTTCATTATGTATTTTTGTCTGGTGCGACTTATAGTCCGGACAATACGGTAATATACTACACTTACAATGCTCCTCGAATTCTCCTTTCAGGACACTCTCAATATAACCAACAACAACTACTACTCGGTAGAGGTGGCTAACGTCACAGCGCAGGTGCAGTTTGCCAAGACAGTGATTGGTAAATCTTGCCTCAGTAACATCACTGCCATAAGTCCTCTGGACATGAAACAGGTACTTGACCTCTTTTACTTGAAACTGGAGCTGTGCAAGAACAACCTCTTGAATCTGGATTGTCGTTTTGCCTTCCAGGTCGATTATATGGTTCCCACTGTCATCGCTGATGAGATGAGCTACATGTAGTAAGTCATCTAGGACCTCTGCTTTACGTTAACAATTTTTGAATTCTTTAATGTGAAAGTACCCATGTAGGCATGTTGTCTGAGCTTCTTGCTTTACCTTTCCAGCGACTACTGCACCCTACAAACCATTAAGGTTCACAACATTGTAATTATGATGCAGTAAGTTTAAGCCTCTTCACTTAAATCCATTTTTGGAGTCAATTTTATTTATATTTTTATTTGACCCTTGTGTAACTGACGTCATCCCCTCTTCAGAGTTACTGTGACTGCAACCTACTTTGGCCACGTGGAGCAGGTGTCCCAGGAGATGTACCAGTATGTAGACTGTGGAGGAAACACCACGGCCTATAAAGAGTTGACCAAGCCATTCGACCTCACACATTTTGCTCAGGAGTGACGCCACTCCTCTGCTCGTCTCCCGCCCTCGCTTTACACTGGATTCAATTTGTGGGTTTTTTTTTTTTTTTTCTATATTGTTGTGCTGCGGTATCAAGTTCTCCGTACGAAGAGTCAATCTCCACCGGAAATAGGTGCGTCATGCTTCTTGCATCTTGTAATGTGTTGCATTATGTGGAAAGAGAGAGTTCCCTGACATTTATCTCAGAATATCACAACACACAGCTCCCATTACAGTATGTGTTAAGGATATACTCTGGTAAATTTGAAGGCAGCTTACTTTTGTCAGTGCCAATTCTGTCAAGAAATTGTGACATCCTTAACTATCGAGGCTAAGGCAGACTTGATTAGCATGGGGGCTAAAATCAGAACGTAGAATTTAGCCATCTCTATTATTAAAAAATTGCAAGGAATTTAGCCATCTCTATTATTAAAAAAATGCAAGAAGTAGCACTGTATCACAAACAAAAACACAAAAAAAACAAACAATTCCAATCAACATGAGCTGCTTACACTTTTTAGAAGGTTACTTTATTTTGTAAAGCAGAAAGTATTTCGAGGAGGGTACACGACTTGTTAAGTTAATCCTCAAAATATAATGCTAGTTGAAGTAACACTACCTTGTGACTGCACTGAAGTTTCATTTATTTTTCTGCTTGTATTTGCTGATTTGAATATAGACGACTATATGGTGGGAGGATGATTTTTGGTCCAACGCCACTCTCTGAAATCTGTGTTTACAAAGCTTTATTTAAACGCTTGTTACTTACAGTCACTGAGTGAATTATCCTGTTTTCGCCTGCAGTGTTGAGATTTGAAGGATTAGTCCTGTTGGCGACATTATGCTGTTTGTTGTATTACTGCTATATGTGCACAAACTACTAATTTTCTCACCTGGTTTCTGTTTGTTGTTTTGCACTCATGATTCAGGTAAAAATATGGCCGTGCATTAAAATGTGTATTAACGCTAGGTATGTTCTAGAGTTAGGGAAAAATGATGACTGTGACTGCACTCAGATTTTCCTTTCTCACTTTATGGAACTATTACCCATATGATTGTTTTAATGCACCAGTTATGATATTATTCTTCCAAGCAACCCATGATGCACTTTGAAAAATAGTTTTCCACATCATTACTTGAATGGGATGAGTGAATAGGGGGCTTTACTTACGAATACTGTGACGCAACTTTTAACCGAGTTCAGGGTGCCAACGATAGTTGTTAGTTCAAAAGTTTGCCGTTTAAAAAGCAACATATCATCCACAATTTTGTAATGTGTACTTATGTAAGGCAGTGTTTCCTAATCTTTTCGAGGCCACAGCACATATTTTGTGTAACATTTGCACAACCAAACAAAAATGTCACACAAAAAAAACAAAAACGTATGCGTAATGAAGTATAATTCCAAACAAAAATGTCACACAAAAAAAACGTATGTGTAATGAAGTATAATGGTCTTTTAGTTTCTATTTACTTACTCAACAAGAATCCCTGACCTGTTTAGTTGAACACAACCCTGATCTACTTGCAGTAATTAAAGAAAGACTCGCGCAGAGATTTTCAACAGCTGAGATTCCCTTCTTTTTAAGATTTTTAAATAGCCATCTGCTAGCACCTAGCAGAAGAGTATTCAATTGATCTGTCATTCTTGAATAGACAAACTAAGAAGCATTTAAAAAAAAAAAAAGGATTCGGATCAATCGAGTGAAATTAGATCATTTTCCACGGCGCACTAATGTTACTCGGCACGGTCTTGCGACTGGTGTAATGTACATGTGCATAGTCAACAATTGTAGTTGATCAAAGAAACGAATTAAATCTGCCCAAAAATCTCAAAATATGTAAGTTGCTAACTACTGTCCATACTCGTGCTCGTAGGTACGAAAGAAGTGCTGATTTCATTCAATTTTCCTTCAAAGTATATTGTTCAGACTGATTTAATACTTGACTTCTTTTTTTTCCTTTTTATTTTACTCTTTGTTGTTTCATATTCATATTGCATATTTTATGTGCTTGAAAAACTTAAAAATAAATGTTATGAATAAAGATTAAAAAAAAATAATTTTGTGTTTTTCTCTGCACCTTTTGCGTGGAATGTGTGACAGGAAACGTTATTGATTTCATTACTCACTTTAAAACCTAAACTTGATGCGGACTCCATTGCATCTACCTACTGTTGTTGTAATTTGAATACTTTTTGTTCTATCTGTGAACCTATAAGGACTTCCTTAAAAAGAGTTTTTTTTTTTTTTTTCATTTCAGTGTGATTTCCTGCTTTAATAACGTTAGCACTTTAGCTTTAGCAAGTGCACCATATTGGTCAATGAACAGAGAGAGAGAGAGCGAGAGAAAACGAAGAATTTCGTTCTTCCATGTGGGTATAATGATATAATGTACCCTTGGAATTCGATGGTTCTAATATTAAACAACATTTCATATGCCTTTCTTTTTACAAATGTAATGTAATGTAATGTAATAAGCATGAAAAGATTTAAATATGATTACCACTTGCCCATAATTAGCATATTAGCCTAGTTGTATGTTGTTTCCTATCTTAAGAGTTCAAGAATAAAGGAAAAGCCCAAATTATTACGGGGTGTAGTTTTAGGCCACAGAGCATTGACGCTGATGAAGAAACAAATACAAAAAAATACAAAAAAATATAAATAAATGGTAAATTATACTGAACGTAGGAATTAGGAACAGGTTACACTGATAATAGTACACAATGCTTTTAATTTGAAACAAATGACCGGAAGAGGGACTGTTGATGGGCCGCTATAAGGTCAGTCGAGGATGCGGGAATGAGCGTCGACAGTGGTGAAGTTACATTCTGTTTTACCGCGTCGGAGGTCTTCGTCGGTAAGTTTTCTGATACGTCGCTATCTTGGTATACCATTTCATCATTATTGTTTCTAAAATACATTTTAATTGTTGTTATTACTTTGTGTTGCATTTAAAACGGCTTTCTGTCGTCCCCTAGCTGCTTTTTTATCGTTTAATAGCAACTTCAATATATTTAACACTTGTTGGTGCCGCGAATTCGTACAGCTCCTGCTCTGTTAAACCACAAACGCTAAAATTCAAACTCAAATACATTCAAATGAACTCAAACACATAAACCTTAATGAAATTATTTGACGTTCGCGTGTGATTTGTGAATCACAATTGCTGTTTATGTGCTATTTTACCGAGACATTTCCCTCGTTTAAATAGCGGTAATATCAATCGTTTCTGAAATGTAAACCATATCTATGCCAAAATTATCAGATTTCCCTATTGACTTAACGCAATGCTTTGTATTTTTTTGTTATCGCTTGCAGTGTTACGATCTGCATTCGTAGTTTCAAGTTAACTTTTGCTCGTTTGCCCGTTGCGTTTCTTCGAGAATAAGCTTTTATTTCGCTGCCGCTCACTAAGATGTCCGCTTTATACCCTGCTGTGGAGTGGATTCAGTCACTGAATAGAAATTAGCCTATGAAGTGACACTTGTGAGCTGTGACGCTGCATGTGCAAATGAGCGGCCATCAACCTCCCTGCTTGATTCTTCCTGCGTCTTTTATTCTGAGTTCATCCCTGCCCTGGGGGTTGTAGAAGTGACTTGTTTAATGTTGGGGGGTTTTTTTGTCATGCAAATGTCATGATTTGTTTGAGGGGACTGACTTATTGTGCATGTTTTGACCCCATCCAGACTTGAAAGATCTGCCCCCCTGAGGATCATTTCTGCTTCCGCGCCTCCTGACCCCTGCAAGATGGGCAATGGATTTTCCGAGCACCACTTCCCGTTGTCACGTCTCCCCTCGTTCCAGACGCAGCACGTCGTTATTCTGGGTCTGGACTGTGCGGGAAAGACCACGGTGCTGTATCGTCTGCGTTTCAACGAGTTTGTTAACACCGTCCCGACGAAGGGTTTCAACGCCGAAAGGATCAAGGTCTCCCTCGGAGGACGCAGAGGCCGAGCGTGCTTCCACTTGTGGGACGTCGGTGGGCAAGAGAGGTTGCGTCCGCTGTGGCGCTCCTACACGCGCTGCGCGGATGGCATCGTGTTTGTGGTGGACTCTGCGGACGCCGAACGCGTCGAGGAGGCCAAGAGCGAGCTGCACAAAATCACGCGTCTGGTCGAGAACAAGGGCGTGCCGGTTCTGGTGGTGGCTAACAAGCAGGACCTGAGGAACTCGCTTAGTCTGGCTGACATGGAGTGCATGTTGGCTCTTGGAGAACTAGGCGGTAGCACACCTTGGCACCTTCAGTCCGCCTGTGCCATCATTGGTGAGGGACTGCTGGAAGGACTACAGACACTGTATGCTATGATCACGAAGAGGAAAGCGATTCAGCGGCAGCAGAAAAGGAGGAAGCGATGACGCCGTAGCTGCAAAGGCAATGGAACGTACTTTTTTACTAGCCTAGTATGAACATTTCGTAGTAGAACACATGGCACGCTATTGATTTCTACGGAGGGTTGACCATAGGTGTTGTGGACAGAAATGTTTTCATGCCCCCCCTGTCCCCGACCCATGCAAATTGAAATGCTATTTAGGTGTTGTGGACAGAAATGTTTTCATCCCCACCCCCTGACCCCGACCCATGCAAATTGAAATGCTAATAACGTATATTTTTTTTATCTGTACAAACCACTGTATGAGTTGCTGCCACCTAGTGACTGGAGGCTTGTTATCATTCATGCATTATACCAGTGATACACTTCCCCCGGCACCTCACCACGCCTCCCCATGGGGGGTCCCGCCCCACTATTTGAGAGTTACTGGTGTACTGTATTATATGTAACCAAATGATATGCAGCTGAAAAGTTTGATGTATTTTCCAGTCGAGGTTACTTTACGTTTGACAACAGCTACATTTCATAAACAATACAATACACCTGGAAGTCGTATTTATTTATATAAAAGAGTGGCAGAATTGGAATGCTGTCATTAAAAAAATCATCATCTTATACAATGATCCCACAGGGACGGGGGTATATATACCCAGGGCACCAGGTGACGCGAGTGAGACTGATGACAGAGACACATGCATGAAATATCAATTAATTTTGAACAGTGATTACCGTATACTCCAAACTATAAGTCACGAGAGTGGCAGAATTGGAATGCTGTCATTTAACATCAATTAATTTTTAACTGTGATTACCGTAAACTCCAAACTATAAGTCACACTTTTTTTTTTCATCCTTTTGCTGGGTTTGCAACTTGTACTCGGGTGCAACTCATATTAACATATAACATATACATATAACATACAGCAACTTGTACTCGGGTGCAACTCATATCAAGACATATAATTTCACGTTTGTTATTTTCACACTGACAGCCGCTAGAGGGCACTGTTCCAACTTATACTCCGGAGCGACTTAAGATATGTTTTTTCTTCTTCATTATGCATTTTTTTGGTCTGGTGCGACTTATACCCCTGAGCGACTTGTAGTCCGTAAAATACGGTCTACAAAATATATTAAGTATATTTAGGCATACAAAAACATACATATTTAAAACTGTAATAAATGTGTTCTTTTTTTGGAGTTAATGTGGTTTTTTTTAACTAGAACTTAACAAGATCAAGTGGTCAAGATTAAAGAATAAGTTAAATTACGTTCCTCCTTTTTACATGAATGCCAACATTTCGCGCCGTACAAATCAAAGGTAAATAAAGCTAGCAACCATGCTCGCCATGGTTATTTGAGCAGAGATCAAAGACTGATTGTACTTGTTGAAAGAGTATTTACTCTACTGCATTTATTTTCAGCCTTCGGCGATAAAAAAAAAAAAAAACCCCAAATGAACTTTTTAATTTGATATCGACGTTAGCTTTACTGGTTAGCTAAGGGCTACAGGAGCTATGGCTAAAGTGGACAGAAGATCAGGCAGAGTAACTCTATGAAATTAAAAGACGCTGTCGACTTAGCATTGTTGCTAGCGGTTAGCAATGCTTTGCATTTCTCAAGCATGCTGTAGTAGGCAACGTTATTATCAGAGTGCAGTCGTAATATATATATATGTATGTATATATATATATATACATACATATATATATATATGTATATATATATAGACTATATATGTCCATGTAATAACACGGTCAAGTTATCACTACATGTTCTGTAGGCGTTCAGGATCGAGTTACCAGACAGGATATGGACTTTCTAAGTCAGCGGTGTCAAACATACGGCCTGCGGGCCAAAGCCGGCCCATTTAAGGGTTCAATACGGCCCGCTTGATGAATGTTAAAAGTGAAAAAAACTAAGAAAAAAAACACTGCATGTTACTGATGTTTTCACAAATATTCATTTTTTATATGTATTATATTTATATTACTTGCTTTAACATATTATTATTACTTATATTACTTACTTGGAAACAAAGGAGGAAACATAAATTTATTGTTATTTATAGTTTAATTATGTTACAATTGTACAGGTCCGGCCCACTTGACGTCTCTATGTGGGCCCCTGAACCAAAATGAGTTTGACAGCCCATGTCTAGGTATGAATGTGAGTGGAGATGATTGTTCTTATCTATTTGTGGTCCTGCAATCTCTTACCAGTGACTTCAGCTCCGCCCATGACCCTGAAAATAATGAAGCAACAGAAGACGGTTGAACGAATGTGACTAGAGATGTAGTATCTTTTGGGTATTATTAGTAAAATTTAGCCGAATGAATTCATGTCAAGAATTGAAAACTTTTGAGAACGCGCAATGCCACGTCCACGCGATCGGATGCGTATACTTACTGTAAGGGAACTGATCGTGTGGGAGAACCGCTGCAGTTGATGAACCTTCTTACCTCACTTGTAAAAAAAAAATAAAGTTTTTTTTTTTTGTATGTGACTTTTATATTCAAGTGAGCTTTCAATGGACAACACAAATGAAGTTTTTTTTCAGAGGAATATTTATCTCCTGGTTCGGTTCGGTTAAGTCCAGTCACAGTGTATACATTTTCATTCAAAAAAACATTTGATTTTACATTCATGCAATTTTTAAACCCGTCCACAATTAGTGCTAACAAGAATGGACTGCTCGTCTGCGAAACAGACGTACGCTGCGATCGCATTTTCACAGCATCAACTACGTTTTTCTTTTAGTGGCACTGAAAAACAAACGAATGTCTGCTAAACAGATTTCTCTCTGCTTAACTTCGGAAACAGAAACTGGCGTCGTCGGGCAACGAGCCCGATGAAGATCTGCGAGAGCGGTGTCCGTAACGTTGCATTACCGCCTCCTCTCTTCGTCCTCCTCTGGAAGACTTCATCGCGAAGACTCGCCATAGTTTCTGACAGAGTCTCGGGTTACTTGACCAGGCGTATCCGTCTGATGTGGGGCAGTTCAGTCCCTCTGAAAGACAGGTATCTGCTCTCAGTGGAAGTCTGAATGTTTCTGCGATTGTTTTTGGTCCAGCTGGGCAGTACGCTTCCCTGAACAGACATGTAGCAGCTATTCTCCTCCCTACACTGAAGGTTTTTCTTCGACGGCCGAATCTGTTTAGACAGCGGCTGTCCATAAACAGACATGTAGGAGCTGTTCTCCTCCCGACATTCACCGGTCGCCTTGCTAAATTTGGTCCAACTACCCAGTTCGTGTCCATGAATGGAAGTGTAGCTGCTCGACACCTTGGAACATTCGATGTTTTTCTTTGATGGTTTGGGCATTTCTATGGACAGCGGGTGTCCCTCAAAAGATATGTAGTTGCTCCCTTCCTTGGTCTTAAAGGACTCACACCGTTTTATTCTAAAGAGCGGGTGCCCGGCGACTGAGATGTACTCGTTCTCTTCTTTTTTCTGTTGCGTTCCTCTATTCGCATGCTCTTTGCGCTTTTTAAACTCCATGGTATTGGTGAAATGCAATACTCACTTATGAACAAATGTCTCTAGTGATAGCAGTGCCCTATTTATGGTAGTTGGCCTCCATAATGTTGCACTATGGCCTTCGCCTAGATTTATTTTCAACTCAACTCAACTATTACGTTGACTTGCCCCCAAAAAAGAAAAGCCATGTAGGATCAATATGTGACATCAGTAAAATATGTGACATCATCGGAATATGTGGTCAAGATCAAACAAGAGTGATGTCAGAAAGATCAAAGGGTTAGCACTACTGGGTCAGTATCACAGGGAAATAGACTGAGGAGACGGGGACACAAACAGCCGTAAAACGCCAGACCTAACATCACCTTCCGCGCAGTCCTGTTCTTAGCAGAATTTTCGCTGAAACGATGCCGAAAGGAAAGGGTAAGAAAGGCGGCAAGGGCTCCGCAAAACCCAAAACCGCCGACGACAAAGACAAGGCATTGTATGTGATAGAGATAGGACATTTGAAAGAGCAGCTGGAGAGATGTCAGCTGAGATGCAATGACATAGAGAGTAACAACATTGCCCTAAAGTCCGAGTTGAGTACACTCGAAAAAGAGAAAAATGACGTCGCCGACTTTCTCCAAAAGTCCATTGTGAAGAGGGAGCAGAAGGTGGAAACCGTGATGCAGCGAATGGATAATCAGCATCAGGAAGCTGAGAATGAGAAAAAAGCCCGGCAGAAGGAATTTGACCAGCAAAAACTGGAGCTTGAGAATCAGGTAGAAGGAATAAGAGTAGAGAGGGATGAACTCAGGAAACGAATGGCTAGTCTGGAGGAATTCCGCATTCAGAGGGAGCAGCTGATGGCCAGCATGGACGCTCTGGAGAAGGAGTTGGCCCTCGAGAAAAAGGACCACGTTGATGACATCCATAAACTAGAGATGGATGCCCTGCTTGAAGGAAAGAAAAGGGACCAAAAGCTTGAGAACCACCTGAAATACATAGACGAAAAAGTGAAGGACATGGTCAACGCCAAGGTTTCTGACCTGACCAAGAATACCTTTCAGGAGAACGCCGAGGTCAGCGCCAAGTTTATTCAGCTGACGGAAGAGGCAAAGGTCCTGACAAAGACCAACTGCGCTCTGCGCGATCAAAACAGCCAGCTCAACGTGGACGTGGAAAGCCTGGAACAAATGCTGGCCGAGTTGTCACGCAAAGGCGGCATTCGCAAGAAGGTGGTGGCACAGCTGGGAGAGAAGTGTCAGCAGCTCCACGGGGAGGTCAAAGTCTTCAAACAGGAGTACCAGCACCTTCAGGCCAAGCACAAAGACTGCCTCCACATTATCCGTACCGAGATGGGGGCGCTGAAGAAGGAGCGGAAGGCCCTCATCGAGGAGCTGAGCCAAAAGCAAGACGAGATCGCTCAAATGAAGGTCGCGCTCAAGAAAGAGAGGAAGAGATGGATGACCTGGTGGCGGATATTATCGTGGAAAATGCCAACAGTGTCAAAGCCAGAGGGCAACACGGATTGGTCCAAATATTTTGAAGAGGACGACGAAGACGACGGAATGCAGAGAGAAGAACAACCGCAGAACGAGGCAGGTAGAGGGATCGGGGAACGTACTGATCCCAGCGTGCCAGAATGATGGGAACCTAAACCTGAAACCAAACGCTCCTTACTCTGTATACACAGCTAACAATGCAAATGACATGGAAAGGAATCAACATTAAAAAAAGAAAAAAAAAATCGAAACGTGTGTACAAAACCCGATTTCCAATCGACACAGTAAGCTCTCGCAAAACTGTAACTACTGGCCACTCGTTACCATATGAAATGAGTGTAAGACTCTCCAGCGACTGGGGCATAAATCCCTCTCCCAACCCGGAGTGGGATTGCCGGCAGTATACTGGGGCATAAATCCCTCTCCCAACCCTGAGTGGGATTGCCCAATCACCAGCAGCTGAGTAAACACTCACACACCAGGAAACGAAAAACCAACCCACTCCAGTAACCCTGCAATCAACTGTATTTAACACTATTTTTGTGTATTTTATACAAACATAACTGTACAACTGTAAATGTATGTATTCATAACCCATACCATATGGTTTCCATTAAAGTTTTTTTGGAAAAAGTAAAATGGAAACAATCGACGGTTAACGTTGTAGACACACTGGGGGGGGGCAATGAACTTCTGATCTAAATCAGTCACAAGTTGTCTCATTGCAGTGCATTGCAACGCATCAATTTCATTTTCACTTGATGCCACTAGATGGCGACAGACACACTTTACCTTTACAGGACGGTAGCCCTGTCTCTCCACTTTTGGCCACACTAAAAGTACAGCTTTTATTTTGAAAAAAAAAAATAAAATAAAATAAGATGTGTTTTCGAAACATTTAGGCTTTTTTTGTACTGACATTATAAGACAATAAGTATATTGAAATTAAATTTAAGACTAACTTAGTTGGCATATGATTTGAATGATATGTTGAAGAACCATTGATTGTTATGAGTGCAAGGTACATATGGTATGACAACAGACCAAAAAAACCACAAAGGTTGGAAACTGTAGATTTTACTAAAGTTATCTAATAAGCGTGGACATAAAGACACAGTAAACTATCAAATTTATTATATATATATTTATATATATATATATATATATATGAAATATTTGGCACATTTCCCATTGAAAGTATAATCGACATATTTCCATCTGAATTCTTTCAGGATTTCCTGACTTAAAAGTTACTATTACACATTGATATGGCTCGAGCAAAAAACGGGGATTCCGCGGGAGGAATTATTAACTCCATGACCAACCAAGACAGGGCAGAGTCCAGGAGGGATGGAGTCCCAACGTCACCAGCGGTGGCTCTACTGTCACCGCTCGTGTTTGCACATAATGTCTCTTCTGTCCACAACTGCTATACCGGGCATGCTCAGCTCTTTTGGAGACACGTCTGCGTAAAATTCGGCCACAACAGGGCAGTGATTGGATGCCACACCACCCCATGACCAGTTGTCAGGGATCCAGGGGTTGGTCAAACCCTCTCGAACGACCATGCACCGGCCTGTAGGAAGGAGAGACAACTTGGTAGGTATGCAGTCCTACAGAGGCAGGTGGAGTAAAAGTATCGAATTTGACCATCCATCCTATATATATATATATATATGTATATGTATATATATATATA